AATCACCTAAGCCCAAGAGCTGGAGGTTGCTGTGAGCTGTGATGCCACAGCATTCTACCAAGGGCAACAAAGTGAGACTGTCTCTAAAAAAAGTTTTAAAGTAAATAAATAAATCATAAGCTCAAGGGTGGCACCTGTGGCTCAAAGGGGTAGGGCGCCAGCCCCATATGCCAGAGGTGGTAGGTTCAAACCCAGCTCTGGCCAAAAACTGCAAAAAAAAAAAAAATCATAAGCTCAAAAGACAAATATAAAACCAGGAGAAAAAAAGTGGCTGGGCACAGTGGCTCACACTCTGGGCAACAGTTGGACACTCTGTCTCAAAAATAAAAAATAATAATAAAAAGAAAACCTAGAAAATAAAATATTAGTAATACGTGACAGAAAAAGAAGTAATGTACTAAATCCCAAACTCAAAAAATAAATAGTGAAAAAATAGAAACATGCCAAACATGGTAGTTTGCACCTATAATCCTGGCTACTCAGAAGGCTAAGGTAGGAAGATTCCTTGAGGCCACAGTTAGAGACCAGCCTGGGTAACATAGTGAGAACTCGTCCCTTAAAAAAATGAAACAAGTTAGGAGGGCATGGTGGTGCACACCTGTCATCCCAGCTACTCAAAAGGCTGAGGCAGGAGGAACATTTGAGCCCAAACGTTCAAGGCTGCAAGGAGCTATGATCACTCTGCTGCACCCAGCCTGGGTCACAAAGTGCGACCCCATGTCTAAAAAGAAAAAATAGGAAAAGAAGAAAAATAGAAATAATTCAAAGCTGAAAATTAAAGAAACACTAATGGCCTAAAAATATTTGAAAAGCTGATCACTTTACCCATAATTAATCAGCAAATACTGAAAGTTTGATAAAAACCAATGCTCAGGGAAAAGGTCATTGAAAGCATTATGTAGATCAGTACACCAATCTCTATTAAAATTTAAATGTAGGGACCCATAGCTCAGTGGGTAGGGCGCCAGCCACATACACCAAGGCTGGCAGGTCCCGCCTGGGCCAGCTAAACTACAATGACAACTACAACAAAAAAACAGCCAGCCAGGGCAGCAGCTATGGCTCAAAGGAATAGGGCGCTGGCCCCATATGCCAGAGGTGGTGGGTTCAAACCCACCCAGCACCCAGCTCCAGCCCCATATGCCAGAGGTGGTGGGTTCAAACCCACCCAGCACCCAGCTCCAGCCCCATATGCCAGAGGTGGTGGGTTCAAACCTACCCAGCCCCAGCCCCAGCCAAAAACTGCAAAAAAAAAAGCCAGGCATTTGGCAGGTGCCAGTAGTCCCAGCTACACGGGAGACTGAGGCAAGAGAATTACTTAAGCCAAAGAGTTTGAGGTTGCTGTGAGCTGTG